AAATTGTTTTTTCATTTTTTGTATCTTGTACCCTCTTCTTTTCAATTTGTTCATCAGTTTGAAGCTGGCTTCCTTGAAGTAGGAAAACTGTGAGGAGATGCTTGCGTACCTGATGAATTGTGAGTGTACGATTGATCTTAAGATGTGTGGTGGATGAAATGAGTGATGGTGTAGAAGATCAAATGTGTTTGTTTTTTTGAAATGAGGTTTGGTGAGGAGGAATGGTGATGTGTTAACGTTCTTATATATTGTCATGTCAAGGAAATCAATGCTAGTAGTGCTGTGTTCAAAGTTTAATTTAATGCCAGGTATTAAACTATTAGCTCTTACTATTAGTTTTTCTAATTCAATGTTCGTTCCGTTGAATGCAAAAAATATATCACCGATGTATCTATTGTTGCTGACGACGTTGTAGAACTCTTCGTTGATTGTCGTGTCCAGGTAGTCGAGGTACAGATTGGCGAGTGTGGGTGAGTAAATTTTGCCCATCGCCCATTGTTGTTTGTTGAAGGCGAAGTCTGGGTTAGGGTTACCACAAAATTATAAATTAAGATACCTTAATACGTTTGTTACAACGACGCTAGCAAAATCGAATTTTCGAGATAGAATCAAGACTTTGTATTATCAAATAAAAACTTTTTTATTCAATAAACCTAAATCATCGACGTTTCGACTGCGTTTGTGGAAGAAGATTGTTGCATGATGATCATTAAAGGAAATTGTTGCGTAACGTTTGTTGAAGAAGACTGTTTCATGGTGATTGTTGAAGTAGACTGTTGCGTGGCGTTTGTTAATGGAAATTGTTGCGTGACGTTTGTTGAATGAGACTGTTGCCTGTCTTTTGGCAATGTTGACTGCAAATGTGATGTCGAATTCGCAGTTTTATTGTCGTTTCCTTTTTCCCCCAACAATTTGAGTCTTTTGTGAATGGCGCATGACCGTTGGCGCAGAATTTACCACAGCAACATTTAATTAAGTTATTATTATTATCGGTATTTATTGAATAATTATTAAGAGAATTCGAATTAAAAATGCTGGCAGAGATATTAACGTTAGTATCTGCAGGCGAGTGTACAACGTTACTATTGAGATTGGCTGTATTTTTCGCGCAACGCCAGGAGTGCCTACCATCACTTTCAAACGATATATTACAATATGGACATTTAGTTGAATAAACTAGAGAAATGTTGTTTAAAATTAAAACAAAATAAATAACGAGGTAGAATTCGAATTTTAAAAATGGCGGCATATTCCCTACAACTCAGCAAATGTACCAAACTAATATAAGACTAATTAAAAAGCTTTAAAACCAAAATTAAATTGTTGAAGGATGTATGCTTTCGGCCAGCTCTCGTGTTTCGCAACGTAAAAAAATAATAATATCAATAGTAACAATAACATTCATAATAACAATAATAATAATAATAATAATAATAATTTGAATTAATTTCGTGCCTCACAATTTTGACGCTGTTGTTGCCACCTTGACAAATATCGTTCAAATTAAAAAAAAATTCAAGTTTTTAGTTGTTAAAATTTTTCATTACATTAGAATTTCATGTTTCTTTTTCGTATTCATTTGTATATATTTTTAATAATATTAAAACTGTAACAGTTCTAAATCAATATATAATGCACTGACGATGACGGTATAGCGTCGAAATAGATTTATTATTATTATTATTATTATTATTAGTAGTAGTAGTAGTAGTAGAAGCAGTAATACTGTTCCGTTGGTTAATTTAATTAAACTTAAATTGGATGAATGATAAATGTAGCAAAATGTTACATAGAAACTTAAAATCTGAAAATTTGGTTTATTTACTAAAATACTCTGGCGAATAACTTTCGAATATTTCCAACAAATGCATCGAGTTTCATTTTCCGATGACAATGTAAGAGTCTATCAGATGACTTAATTAAATTAAATAAGTTATTGAATAAAATTAATTAAATGTGAATAAATCAATAGAAAGAAAAATTACAGAATGAAAAAACTTTTTTCAATTTGTTTCAATGATGCAAACATTCCATATTTAACCGCTATTTTAATTTCAATTTCTATCGAGCAAACATTGTTGCTTGTTATGAGACTGCCTAAGTAAACGAGTCGGTTGATTTCTTTTATCTGAAAGTTCGTATGGATCAATTTTACTTAATTTAATTATAATTTATAGAACGTAAATATTAATTGAGACTTTGAAAGTAATCTCGATTATTTGATTAATTAGATTAACCAGATTTGAATCAAGTGATTTCGACTGTTTGCTGTTATCTAGGATCGCCAAGATTATTTTTAATCAACTTATTTAATTTTGGTAAGTCAAAGATGACGAAGAAAAAAATTTTATAAGTTTCAAAAAAATAAGTATTGAAAAATGGAAAAGTACTTTGAAGAAATAACTGAAAAAAAGATATTCTGGAATTAGTTGTTATAACCTAATAAAAATTTTGTGGTTTAAAAAGTTAAAAATCCTCTTTAAATTTAATAATTGTGGGAAAGACAGATGACTATTTCAAATATGAGCTGTTTGAGAGAAAAGTTAAACATTTTTTGGATATATTAAATAAGTGCAGAACAACATAAGACCTTTTATCTATAAATCATTTAACAAATTTTTAATTCTTTTTGAAGATTCAGTTCATAAAAAGCTGGACAGACACGATATCAACAAAAATAAAGTGAATTCTTCGAATAAACCAAGGCAAATTATATCAGAAACTCATCAAAGATCTCAATCAAGTACTACAACAACAACAGCTACAACAAAAAAATGTAACATTGATTCTCTAAGAATTGTCATCAGAAAAAACTTTTTACAATGTCTCTCATCCAAGTAAATTCTTATTTAAAGTTTATTCTTTTGAACTATATTTCAAATTAAATAGTGGAAGCTAATGGCGGCGTGATGGCTCTATGGTTAAAGGCGCCTGGTTTTGCTATTGCAATGACTGGATTCGAATACAAAGAGATCCCCGCCTATCATATGCAATGTGTATGATGCGTGGTTTGCACGCGTATTCATATACGCTGTGTGTGTTTGTCGTTGAAACCTCTGAAGCTAACGCAAAAGAGAGAGAGTAACCTTTAACCTTTTAACCTTTAATGTTCAATATTAAGCAAAAATGGAGTGCTTCACCAGGTTATCAAGTTAGCCTTGTCTTGCGCTCTTTTACACGATGACATGATACTCTCTATCTGAAACTTAAAAACCATGTGCGATTGATACGGTTCTTGCACTTACATATATAGTGTGTATATAAAAGTAGTTAACTACTATAGTAAACCACTTAGTTTAAAAAGTATTTAATATCAATTTCTTAACCATTTTTGTTTGCAATAGTTATTAACTACTTCTTTACTTAACTACTGCATAGTAGTTAACTATTTATATATAAAAAATTGTTGTATATAAAAAAACTGCTGGAGATGTGCACCAAACAGTGTCCGTTCTACGGCCCAAACAGTGAATTATACCAGCAAGTTGACAGCTTAGCGATGGGATTTCCATTGGAGGTTCTCTTTGCCAATTTTTATTTAAGGTCAATAGGGGAAAAGATATTTCAGCAGATACTCAAACCCTATATATATATATATATATATATATATATATATATATATACTGCAAATATATAGACGATATCTTTATCCTATATATATATTATATATATATATTATATATATATATATTTACAATATTCTATAAATTCTACCGAATGTTTGGCGTTAATATGTTTGTAGTTCGTTTTTTCGATTTTTCTCACTAAAGTTTTTTGGTGAACGTTTAGTTTATTAAAATTATTTTTAGCTTATTTTTCGAATTCATGCTGCAAATAAGGCCATATTTCGATTCCGAATGAATCATCATCAGTGCTCCTTGCTGAATATATAGGGAAATATTGACTTTGTCAAGATGAGCTTTGACGTTGTAAAAATTAACTTTGGTGTTGTAAAATTGAACTTTGATGCGAATTAGGTGTCATGTTTCTTTATTTGGCTGGTCATCTTCTTTGGTCTCCTTTTCTTCATTGATAGCATCATATTCTCTTTGTCACTATTTACAATGCTAGTTTTTATTACTTCTTTGTTTTCATTGTTGGTTAAGCGCCGGGTTGGAAGTGAGGTTGTCATTTTTTGTTGTATATTTATTTTTGGTTTATTGATGTCAATTAGGACTGCTTCTGCAATTTTAAGATGCGTGTAGTTGCTGTAGTCGAAATATGGCCTTATTTGCAGCATGAATTCGAAAAATAAGCTAAAAATAATTTTAATAAACTAAACGTTCACCAAAAAACTTTAGTGAGAAAAATCGAAAAAACGAACTACAAACATATTAACGCCAAACATTCGGTAGAATTTATAGAATATTGTAAGAATTATGGTCTATTACCAACATATATATATATATATATATATATATATATATATATATATATATATATATATATATATATATATACAGATCTGTTTATTGTATGAAATTCCAAAAATTGACTGGTCCAAGTAGAATGCATTAAAATATGTTAGGCAAAATATGAAAGCTCGCCAACTTAAAGACATAACTTGCAAAAAGTTTTCATTTGAACGTTTAACTCGCCATCTTGCAGTCCAATTAAACATGATTTAATTCAGGGCTCGTGAAATTTCAAAATTTCGATGTCGCTAATGGCATTGTAACATAAATACAACAATCAACTGTACTATTTGGGATATTGTTGATCTACAGATAATTTAAACAGGCAATTTTCGAGTTACATCATTTCTAGCAGATTTCACAATTATTGACTTGTCATAATTGTTTTAATTTTTTAAATTTATAAATAATAATTTATCACATTCTTTCATTATATTTTTCTTAAAAATATTATGAGATATATTTTGGACGTCATTCTTTGTATTTTTTTATTGACTTTATCTACAAATATTCAATATTTGCATATGTGCTATATATAGCTTATGTGTAAATTTAATGTCAAACAACAGAATGAACGACACAACAATGGTGACATTGCCTGAGTTGAAACATCTTTCTATTGATCTGGAAAATGAGCTTTACAAGCAATATAATTCAACTAACCAGATCTATCAACAACACTATCTCAAACTTTTAAATATTTTAAAAATTTCTTCAGACAAGGTAGTTATTTTTAAAGTTGAATTTTAAAGTTTTTACATGATTTTAAATATTTAGGCTTAACATACTAACTCTAGAAATTATATCCAACATATTTAGCTTATCATATCATAGTTTACAGTCCGTTTTTTTACTAAATCACTATATGTACAACTAAATTTTTGACAATAAAGGTTTTGAATGGTGAGGAGTCTCCGATAAGTCTTGTAAAAAAAGCACGTTGTATGTCAGATGATTTATTGAACAACGTACGTTTTTTCTTCAAATTTTTTGTGTAAATGTTTGAAACATGCATGTTTAAATATTTGACAGAAATTTGTAATGTCCTATTTTATTTACAGATAGATACTACATATAAACATGATCAACACGTTTATGACATCAATTGTCAAGTTTGTAATCCATCACGTAACATAAACAAAAACAGCGAGACAGTTGGATCAAAATTAAATCCTACCAAATCTTCTTTTAAATTACCCGATGAAACACTTTCATCAAACGTATCGGATGTAAACTGTGCCTTTAATGCTTTTCCTTCTGACGTCTCAAGTACAACTGATATTGAAAAGCCAAAAACTAAAGAAGCTTTCGAGGATGAACTAATTTTAAAAAGTAAGAAAAATGAAAATGATGGCTCATTCAATAATAGGTTTGTAAATGCTCATTTGTAGTTAATAAATACTTATAGTAAATAGTAAATTAGTAGGTATATACTGGCTGTTTGCGTTAAAAAAAAACAAATGTTAAATTGTTTAAATATAATTAATTATTTTCAAATGATTCTTTAGGTTTCTTTCGTTAAATATAATTAAAACTAAATAAAGAGAAATACAAAAAATTTGTCATAAAAAGAAACCATTTTTTTTAAAATAACAAACTTAAAACATTGAAGTAAATGTATGTATTAAACAAATTAAAAAAACTGATTAATCAAAATTTGATTTATCGAAATTTTTAGTATAAAATGAATTGTTAAAACCGCTAATAAAAGTTAATCAAAATTAAAGTGTTGAATGAAATCTATTCAAATTATATATAAAAATTTAAATTTTATTGCTAACTATGTACGGAAAATTTAAATTTTTGGTCTGTTTATATTGGTTTTAGAGAATTAATTTCTTATAAAACAAATAAAAGAAACTTTCAAAGTTTTTTTCATTAAAATAAAAGAATAAAGTAATTTTTAAATTTCATTGATCAAACTACGTTTACCTTGTAGAAAATATTAGAAAATGTAGAGTAGTTATAATAACTTTGAAATTAAAAAAAATATGGGATACTATTTGAAAAGAAGGGTAACTACATGTTTGCACAACTTCACATCCAATTTTTCAAATTCCAAATTGTTATTATACCTACTATCCGAACTCTGTTTATTTTTATGATATATGTAACAAAGTTTTAATGTTATTTAATCAATCAAATTTTGAAATATTTTTATTCTTTTGAGTTAAAAAAACTTTAAAAGTTTATTTGATATATTTTATCCTTTATAGTCTTCCATTTTGTTTCAAATTCAAATACAGCAAGTGTGATGATGCGGTGTACAAAAAAATCATTCAAAATAATATCCAAATAGAATAATCAAGCTAACATTTTAGCAGTTTAAATTGTTTATTTTCTCATATGTCTAAATTTGTTACTTACTGGTTAAAATACCAGCACACCGTATACGTAGTTTATTCATTATATCTATAATGTGCCTATCTCTTATGCCTCTGCCCAATCGTGAAAAGCTCACTTGGCTGATCCTTGAAGGTTTCCAAAATTCCAAACTATCAGTAGTGTAGTATCAATATTAAGCTTGTTTGTTGTTCAAATCCAAAACTAAGGTTTATTAAGTGCATCGCCCTGGCTTTTTGGAATTCTCCAAGAATCAGCCAAGTGGACAGACACGATATCAACAAAAATAAAGTGAATTCTTCGAATAAACCAAGGCAAATTATATCAGAAACTCATCAAAGATCTCAATCAAGTACAACAACAACAACAGCTACAACAAAAAAATCTAACATTGATTCTCTAAGAATTGTCATCAGAAAAAACTTTTTACAATGTCTCTCATCCAAGTAAATTCTTATTTAAAGATTATTCTTTTGAACTATATTTCAAATTAAATAGTGGAAGCTAATGGCGGCGTGATGGCTCTATGGTTAAAGGCGCCTGGTCTTGCTATTGCAGTGACTGGATTCGAATACAAAGAGATCCCCGCCTATCATATGCAATGTGTATGATGCGTGGTTTGCACGCGTATTCATATACGCTGTGTGTGTTTGTCGTTGAAACCTCTGAAGCTAACGCAAAAGAGAGAGAGTAACCTTTAACCTTTTAACCTTTAATGTTCAATATTAAGCAAAAATGGAGTACTTCACCAGGTTATCAAGTTAGCCTTGTCTTGCGCTCTTTTACACAATGACATGATACTCTCTATCTGAAACTTAAAAACTATGTGCGATTGATACGGTTCTTGCACTTACATATATAGTGTGTATGTGTATGCGCGTCTGTGGTGTGGATAGTGTTAGAACCTTTGTGGCACGAAAATTAAATTATAAATATAGAATAAAGCAGTGTTGTGTAAACTACTCAAATAAAAGTAGTTAATTACTATAGTAAACTACTTAGTTTAAAAAGTATTTAATATCAATTTCTTAACTATTTTTGTTTGCAATAGTTATTAACTACTTCTTTACTTAACTACTGCATAGTAGTTAACTATTTATATATAAAAAATTGTTGTATATAAAAAAACTGCTGGAGATGTGCACCAAAGAGTGTCCGTTCTACGGCCCAAACAGTGAATTATACCAGCAAGTTGACAGCTTAGCGATGGGATTTCCATTGGAGGAATCCTTGAAGGATTCCAAAATTCCAAACTATCAGTAGTGTAGTATCAATATTAAGCTTGTTTGTTGTTCAAATCCAAAACTACGGTTTATTAAGTGCATCGCCCTGGCTTTTTGGAGTTCTCCAAGAATCAGCCAAGTGAGCTTTTCACGATTGGGCAGAGGCATAAGATAGGAACACTATAGATATAATGAATAAACTACGTATACGGTGTGCTGGTATTTTAACCAATAAGTAACAAATTTGGACATATGAGAAAATAAACAGTTTAAACTGCTAAATGGTTAGCTTGATTATTCTATTTGGATATTATTTTGAATGATTTTCTTTTTACACCGCGTTATCACACTTGTTGTATTTATCCGAGCACTCGTTTTGTTTTATATTTGTGAGAACCGATAAGAAAGTTGTGTAAATACTACCAATGTACACACTCCTATAAAATAAGCTGCGATGTGTGAATATGTGCAATCTACACAGACGAAGTAAACCCCATATGTATCTTTTAAAGAAATTTAGTTCACAAACATTACAAAAATTATGTGAAAAATTATAGTAGGACATTTCGACAATGGAACTTATAAATTAGACGTGCCGTAAGAATTATTTTGTGAAATAATTTAGAATAAAAAAAAATATTTTTTTGAAGATCATTCAATCTCGACAAAAATGTTTCATCTCCAATTACCTTGAAAAGTGATTCATCAACAGAGAAGGTATGGAGTGGTAATGTGTGCAGTAAGGATTTAAATGCTTGCAACGTAGATGCATACAGAACATCTGGTAACATGACATTTGTTGAAAAGGTTTTAATTATTACATTATAATAATCAACAATGTTATTTTCATTATTCCATTTTATTTTACATTATATTTTTATTAAAATACTAACTTATGACGTTTCGCGGAATTTTTTGATTTTCTGGGAACGTACATGATGAACTTTTCTTATTAGCAACGATCAAAACGAACTATTATTTTGACATAAAAAAAACCCTTTTTAAGAAATGGTAAAGGATAGCAAGATTTATTCAGGGACTTGAAAAGATTTTCGTTTTGTCTTTTTCGATACGTCTCATGTCAACCTTTAATAATTCAAAATTGTTGACCATCAGGAGAAACTGTGGTTTATTTAGTATATACTTGCTTCTGTGCTTCTTCTAACATGAGTGCTCCTATCTCGCGACATCGCTAAATCATATCTAGTTTAAGCTGTCGACACTATATTTGTTACTTTACATTCACGGAATGTGATTGGCTTTTTTTTAGTGTATTTGAAAGGTAATTAGATGCACTGTGTGACACTGTGTAAAAGCTACGTGGCTATTTTAATTCATATTATTACGTTTAATTTGTATTATCTATTTCCATACCATCTGTATCCATTCTTAGAACATCTGTAATATTTTATCTTTTTAGTCGAGGTTCCGCTTCATCACAACTTCCTTTTATCTAATACTTTTTTGTCCAGATTTTTGATACGTAAACTACTGTTTACTACGTTTTTTATTTGCATATTGCAAAGTATCAGTTGATGATCAGACGCAATATCTGCACTTAGGAAACATTGACATTGGTTAATTCAATTCTACTTGCATATTTTTTCAGCCAGAATCAGATCAATCATATTTGAGGTTTGACTATCGGGTGACGGCCGAGTCCATTTTCGTTTTTATATCTCTAGGACTTTTAGCTATATAAAGAGGATTTTGTTTTGCGAATTCCAATAGCCGTTCACCATTTCTATTGCCTATTTCGTGTTTTCCCATCACATATTTATAGCCCAATTTTTCCAATTTTTGCATTCCAGTCACTAAATAAATATCTTTACATTGCCTTTCTTTACATTTTTAAAGCCATGTTAAATTTTATGTTGAAATCATCTACTATCTGATCTTCACAATCACTAGTTAGTGCATATACGCAATTTTATATTTTTAAGGTATGCTGTAAATGGTGCTTGAATTATTCGATCACATCCAACAAGCGCCTTTGATGCTCTTTCCTCCCCAAATCATGGTCTGATTATATTATACCTCCGCCATTCCTCTTGCCACACTTATTCATTAAGTAAAACATAACTGTCTGATTGTTCTTACATTCCATTCTTATTTTATATTATACAAATGAGTTTTCCGGTTGTCTCATCATTCACAGTTCACACGAACTGACTCTTTGAAAGGTTTAAGTAATTATGAAATGGAGAGTGGGAAACATTTATAATTGCTTATTGACTGATGAACTATATTTTTATTTCAGTTACTGCCAAAAAATTTATCAATTTTGGGTCGAATATCATACGAAGCCATTGAAGAATATATTGCGAAAATTAAGTCTATTTATTTCAACTCAAAGGTAAGGTGAAAGTGTGATACATCTCAAGTTTTCACTTATAATATTTGCCGTACCTGTATACTTTCTAATATATTATAATTAATATCTTTTTAAAAATTATAATTAGTGATTTATAAATAAATAAACAAGTTTTTATCTTTTTAAATAATTTGCTAAAAGTTTGAGTCCCAAGATGAATTTAAAATTTAGGATGTTTGCTTAAGTTCCTCAATATAATTTAGTTGAGTTTCCAAATGTTATAACGATTTTGCATTTTATTCCCTCATTTAGGAAATAGCTGTTATTTGCTTTAACTACATTGGGAAAGATAAGAAAGAAAAATCTGATTTTCAAGCATTGTTTGAATATTTAAATAATAAAAAACGGTGTGCTGTGATTGGATCTATTGGTACATTAATTAAGGACATGTATTTATGGCCCTTACATTCTACATCACCAATTCCAAGTTTACTTGTGCCTTTTGATGGTCCAGGTTGTATTTTATTTTTGATAATACTTTTCACTTTGGAATTAATACATTTTATATTCTGTGTATTCTGTGACGAATAGTATCTTAATACTAATGTCCGACCGAAACTGGAATTTTGGCTTCGGTCGAATCCGAACCTTCGGCAATGATCCAAATTTTGGCCGAAACCAAAACTGAAACAAAAATATAACACATTTTCACGTGTGGTCAACATGCATCGAATCAAAAAACTAATAAAAACAAAACACACGATAATTCAATAGCAAAATAGTTCGTTAAATTATAAAGATTATAAATATATACATATTTTTGATATTTAAAATTAAAAAAAATCTTAGGTTATATGCTAGAAATAAAATTTTTTCTAGGCCAGATTTCGGATTTGATCTGGCTTTTTGTTGCCCAAGTCTGTACGCATATATATTTATGCATGCATCTATGTGTGAATATTTGTCTATGTGTGAATATTTGTAGATACACATGTATGCGCGCGTTTACACGTTGTACCTTTATTTGCTCACAATATGTAAGTCATAAATGCATATTATTAAACGCTGTATATATGCAGAATGATTCGATGCTAGAAGAATTACGATTGTATCGCTTGAACCACCTGATTGATTTATCTTAATTACTTTTAAATTACTAGAAATTAAAACCAACATGATTAAGGATATTGTTATTCAAAATGTGTTAGCGTGTAGTGCCTATATAATCCGTACAATCACACATGTTCATATTATATAGGTATGTTTTAATGTATGCTTGTTTCCAAGTTTATTTTGTACATATTAGTATTTACAGAAATTGATTAAGAGGTATAAATCTAATTTGTTTTAATTTTATTGAGTGATTTATTGATAAGAACGAATATAATAAATTTCTATGCTGGTAAATGTTGCAAGCTAATGAAACCATTGTCACAAGTTATATTATAAAAAAAAGTGAAAAGGTTATAGGTCTATTACACTCTTTTTAGGTTCAGAGGATTTAACAATGACATGAGTACATGCTAAACGACGCATCACACGCGAAGCATGTGATAGGTGGGATCTTTTTGCCACGTGCGAACCCGGTCACTACAAGCTCTGGGAAACAGCACCAGGCAACCTTAGCCACTAGGCCATCAAATGTAACGGATTCACAAATTAGGCTTCGGTCAAATTTGTGTTTTTAAATCCGGTTAAATCCGATTCCGGCCGGATTTGAGATAGTCAAATTTACTCTTAACGTTCTATGTAATTTAATAAATTCAACTTTATTATTTTTTGGTTGAAAACACAAATTTTGATGAACATAAGATAAAAGTTACTGTTTAAAATCATGAAAATACGTATTGGCGTGGCGGAAGTTTTGGCCGATTTTTGGACGAAAATGAAACTGGTCGAAACCGAAATTGGTCGAAACCATACTTACGATCATAATAGAAACCTTTAAAGCAATGAATTATGATTTGTACAGGTTTGGATGTAAATAGAGGCGATGTGTTGTTAGGAATAATTGTACAACAAGTTTCAAATGCCGTTTCAAATGCTGTTTCCTTCCACACTGACTCGGTCATCACAGTTAGTGTTTTTTTATTTTAATGTTTTAATGGTAATGATAAATTATATTTTTTTTCATCATTTTGATATACAGGATCCAACAGAAGATGTAGAAGCAATTGTTAAAAAATATAAAAAACAGCAAGACTGCCAAGATGAACATGACATTAAACAGCTTTCATTGATCGATACTAAACAAGGTTTACCAAATGGCTCAGTGTGGTTGATATTGCTTTGCTAAAGTGCTGATGATATCAGCTTTTTTTATATATAAAAAGCATCTATAAGACAGATGAGAGCGTAGGAATTATTTATGTTACTAAAAACAAATTGTTTAATATCATTTTGGTATAGCATCAACCTGGAAAAAAGTAAAGCCCAACCAGGCTCTGGGAAGGTTTGAACGATATAGGGAAATATTTCACGTGTTCACAAGATATGCAAACGTGAAAAGTTATGGTTTTTATATGAAAAATGACATAAAAATGTAATGAAAATATTGTGAAACTGACAGAAAGGTATAGAATTTAAATTTTTAGTTCAGAATTCAGAAACTGGAGAAAGAAAAATAAGTTAAATTTAAAAAAGGAAACTTTGGCTGGGTTATGCTGATGTAGAAAGAGTCACTAAGTTTGTATCTAATGTGACAATAGCAGATGCGACATGAAAACAAGAATATTACCGAAATTTGGCATTGACTAATTTAAAGTTTGTCTTTTCAATTTTTCTTGCTAGATATTTCTAGAAATTGTTTAATTTATTAAAATTTAAAATAAAATTATCCAAATTCATTCTGCGAATTTCCAGATTTGCAGACCTATTTCAATTTTTCAAAAATCATCTTCTGTGCAGGTTTGAGTTATATGGTTTCTTAAACAAAGGAAAATGTAGTTGAATTAATTAGTGTCGTTGTCTTCGTCTTCTTTGTTGTCACTATACTTCCCCGTTGTTATTTAAGTTAGCGTTAAGGCGTAGAGTTAGTAATGATTCATTCTTTGTTGGATGTTTATTTGTGGTTTATTGATACTTATTAGAGAAGCTTCTTCAATTCTTAGGTGTGTTGTGAATTTTGATTATTGTGTATTTCTTACGTTTCTTACGGTTTTGGAGGTCAAGAAGGAGAGGTTTAGGGTATGGAGAAGGGACATGACGGAGGAAGCGGAGTCTGAGTATAGGAAGGCTAAGATGGTTGCAAAACAGGCAGTGGCAACTGCAATGACGATAGCATCAGATAGGTTAATGAAGGAAATGGACTTTGATGTGAGTTCGAGGAAAATGTTCAAAGTAGGAAAGCAGTCAATGAGGGATAGGAAAGATGTTATAGGGAATGGATGTGTTTGGGATGGATCTGGCAAGTTGTGCATAGATGAGGAGGAAAAAGCTCAGGTGTGGAAAGCTCATATGGAAAGGTTGATGAATGAAGAGAATGAGTGGGATGGAGATGTGGAATCCGCGGTCACACACGGACCTATAGAGAAGGTGACGATGGAGGAAGTAGAGAAAGCAGTTAGAGAAATGAAACTAGGTAAGGCGACAGGGGTTTCGGAAGTGGCGGCAGAACATATTAAAGCGAGTGGGGTGATAGGAATTGAAGTTATGATGAGAATTGCTAACAGTATGTTTGATGATGAAGGTATACCTAAGGATTGGCGACACAGTGTGTTGGTGCCGTTGTATAAGGGCAAAGGAGATGTGAGAGATTGTGGGTCATACAGGGGTGTGAAATTACTAGAGCACGGAATGAAGGTAGTGGAGAGGGTGCTTGAGAGGAGGTTGAGAAGTATGGTGACAGTTAATGAAATGCAGTGTGGGTTTATGCCTGGTAGGGGAACGGTGGATGCGTTGTTCATGGTGAGAATGTTGCAGGAGAATTATAGAAAAAAGAAACGAAGATTGCGGTGGTATGGACATGTGTTGAGAAGGGATGAAAGGATCGGGATTAGGCGAGCGTTGGAGTTCGAGGTTGAAGGAGTGGTAGGAAGGGGTCGTCCGCGATTGGGATGGAGAGAGCAGGTGGAGAAGGACAGGGTGAAAGCGGGGTTGCGTGATACTGAGGCGAGTGACAGATGTGGATGGCGTCGAGGGGTATTTCGGTTTCATCATAGGTAGCCAAACGGCAACCCCCGATCTCGGGGAAAATGCCGTCTAAACGTGTGTTGTTGTTGTTGTTTGTTTAAGAAGCTATACAAACCAAAACTGCATTTAACATAATTTATAAAAAATCGAAATAGGCCTACTTGCAGGATGAATTTAGATAATAATTTTAATTTAATTTTTAATAAATTAGACAATTTCCAAAAATTTCTGATAAGAAAAATTGAAAAAATAAACTAAGTTGGTCAATGCCAACAACTCAGTAGAATTCCTACATACTACAACATCCTATAAATTACTTGCTAATAAACTTAAATGCTCTGATATTACAGGGACTGCTTTCAAATGGTTTGAATCGCATTTAATTGGTCGTACTCAGCTGATTAGTTACAATTATGTCTCGTCTCCAACTGAGGTTATGAGATTTGGTGCGCCACAAGGATCTGTTCTCGGTCCCATTTTGTTTACTGTATATACGGCTGATGTTTTTAATTTAATCGATAGTCATGATTTTAAATACCACGGTTATGCAGACGACATTCAGATTATTGCCACTGGTCCTGTTTTATCGTTTCCAGTTTTAATTGATGAATTTGTATTATGCCTTGGTGAAGATGATCATTGGATGAAAAAGCATCGCCTTAAATTAAATACTTGTAAAACACAGCTTATGAAAGTTGGCACATGGCAGCAGTTATCAAAATTACATATTGAATCGGTTAATATTGATAGTAATTCAATTGACTTTTTATTATACTCTTGGAGTAATTTTGGACAGTAATTTACTGATGCAAGACCACGTTAGATCACTTATAAGAGAATGCTATCATCATAAGCGTGGATTGAGATTTGTTCGGAAATCATTAAATAAGGACATCTTACAAAGTCTAGTACATGCGTTCGTACATTCAAAGTTGGATTATTATTTCAATGTTTTGTTCTAGGTTAGGGTTGATAACGCAATTAATAACGGTCAGATGATACAGATCTGCTGAAAGTTCCTTTCGCTTAATTGAAAATAGGATCAAGAAATTTTGCTATTGTTGGATTGATGATTTGGAATAGTGTGCCACAACATTTACCTGACCCGGCTCTCTCCCCAGCAATGTTTCGAAAAGAATTAAAAGCTTATTTATTTTTATAGACAATTTATGATTTTAGTTAATTGCGTTTTGGAGGAGATATGAAACAGCACCAAACGAACATAATAATAATAAAACTACTACTACTAATAATACTATGTGTACTATAATAATAATACATAATAATAATACTATGTGTACATACTATATATATTATATTATATACATATTTATGTTATATATGTATATTTATTTACATTAATCACAATTATGTCTACATATAATTACATTTTAATCATTACTCATAATAGGTACAGAAGAGGCAATAGATGACATAACCAATGGAGTTGATGAAACTATTCATTTAGAAACAACATCGATCTCAGAATCATTGAATGCTAGATTTGACGCTAAGTGCCACAATTCTCAAGCTGATTCAACTGAAGCTGCAATGTATAATCTTTCAGTTTCTTTAGAAAACATACCTCTTCCACCTGATACTAAAGTTGGTACCACCAGCACTGGTAGCAGTATAAATATCCGATGTGATAAAATAATTGAGCATATTCAGGTCGACAAAAACAGCATTAGTCATCCTAAAGAAATTACTATCGATGTATCTTCAAATACGAAGTTTGATAAAAAAAAAGTTGAAACGAATCCACAAATATTAAATAAAACGCATGCCAGAACATCAACCGAGGAACTTCTAACATCCCTCAACAGTTTAATAGAAAATTATATTGCAGCACAAACAGTTGGAACAACTGATTCAAATGATACTGCAACAAACATTACTGGTTCTAAAAACGATCGCATTATAAACAGTAACACCGACGGCAGGGGCAGTGTAGATGGCGATCAAATTGAAGGTGCCGAAACGTCTGTTCATTTGAATGAAAATAGTTGTAAGATAAATACATACAATCCAAACTTACCAAATAATTTGTGGAATTGTAACATAACAAAAGACCAGCAGATTCTTATGAAACAAGCTCTTAGATTTGTAAAAATGACAAATGTTAATGATAACCCAGATGGTTGCCATACCAAATGTGATAACTCATCCTATGCCAGCCCTATTCAAAGAAACGACATTTTTGGTCAACATTTTTTTCACGATAACGGATGCGAAATGGTATCAAAGCCATCCTTCAAGCCTATAACTATCGAGTACAACCATCACAGACAGCCTGATCATAGTAGCAGTTTAGACAATGATCACCATTATATGTTTGCTTCTCAAGTACCGTTGAATTATAAACCACAAAATTATCATTCAGTTTCATCACAGTCTAGAAGTCAATCTGATTTGTGTCATCAACAGCCAAATTACGGTTCTAACAAAACGTATCTTGATTCGGATCCTCCATCGTCTTCAAATACATATTTGCATTTTGAAAAATACGGCAAAAACCAACAGAAGAAAAATGACTATCGTAAGAATCATCATGGCCATAACCACCAGCCATTAGGTCATCAACAAAATTTCCCCTCTAACCAAAAAATTAATACGAATTCAAATCGGAGATATAATTTTACAGACAAAAAACCATTCAGGTACCAGAAATATTAATAAAAAAAAATAAATGGAGTTAATAAATGAAACAATAAACCAATTGATACTCTTCAATACGTAATCTGATTATAATGTTGCGCATGTGATGTATGATACTTTTATTTTTTTGTTGTAATATAACTTATTTAAACACGTTTTTACAGTCCATTACAATGTTCAAAAGTAAAATATTTTTTGAAGTTGCTTTTAATAAAAACGTTGATTAACGAATGCGACGATGATTGCAATGAAAGCTATCAGAACTATGTGTCAACGATTAACGACTGTCAACTTCACTCTATATCTATCATTATTCCCATCGACTTTTTTTCCTTCGCACAGGTTCTTTCTGCGGTTGATAAATTGAATATGATTCTGGATGTTCGTGACAGTTGGACGCATTCATTCCCTTTGATGATGTCCAGTTAGCACTCGAACTTTCGGCATTTTCACTAGCCATAACAAAGTTGTTTTTAAATTGGTTCTGAAAAGCTTGCTTCATAGCAGCAACCCTGTCACTTCTCGGACCTCCAAACGTTTTCATGGAATCTACGGATGAGTTGTCACTGTTTTTTGTTTGGCTCGATGATTTTTCTTTAAATCCTAATCCCGCACCTCCTATATTGAACTTTTTAACTTGTTTGGGCTCATATCTGTTTTTTTTAAACCACGAATTTTGATTGGCGATTTCTAAAAGTTCGTTAGGAACAAGTTGATTAGCCCCTTCCAAATTTCTGACCAGATGACCGGCAAATTCTTTATCTTTTGTTGCTGAAACAAGAGTGTATGCGGTGCCTTTATCTCCAGCACGGCCAGTTCTTCCAATGCGATGTGTATGGGTGTCAATATCACTCGCAACATCATAATTTATTACTGTCTTTATATGATGGATATCAAGACCCCTAGCTGAAATGAGAAAAAAATGAAAATTATTCAACAAATCATAGCGTCGTTAAATAACATCTACGTCTGAATTAAAATAAATGAGCGGTTTTGAAATGTGCAGGAACAAGTGTAGCTCAATACTACGTGCTCAGGAGCCATTGAATCACATCTAAGAACTAAGGTATACTACTTGACCTGAAAGTCAGTCTGTAAGCTTGCGTCACTGTGTTATTTTTAATTGCTGCGTATGTCGTCATCTTAAAGTCTCCTGAATAAATTAAGATGTGTAGGAACAAGTCTAGATCAGTGATACATGCTCAGAAGCCATTGAATTGAGGTATGCTACTTGGCCTGAAAGTCAATGTGTAAGTCTTCGCGTCATTGTGTTATTTTTAAATGTTGCGGCTATCGTTATCTTGAGGTCCCTTGAACAAATTAGGATAAATGCGTGACGCCAGCGCTGTTCATTGCTTTCAGTAAATTTTATGATGTGAAGAATAACACAGGGCAATACCATTATCAAAGACGCCCTTGTCAAATAACTTATAAACTGCATCAATCTTAGCTAGCATATCTACTAAACTACGGATTATTGCAATATAAAAATATATTTAAGAAAAAATGAAATAAAATCTGTACAAACCAGCAACATCTGTCGCAACGAGAATAGGCATTAGTTTGTTTTTGAAAGATGTTATAACTTCATTCCTTTCCATTTGATTCATGTCTCCATGAATGACTCCTAGTTTGAAATCTCGTGACTTCAAGTTTGTAGCCAGTTCCTCACAGTTTGCCTTTCTAGTTACAAATATAAGGACACTACCATAACTGGTCAGTTTGACCAAGTTGCTAGTCAACCAGCTCCATTTTTCAGAGTCGTTATATATTACACGAACTATTTGGTCAACATCTTCGTTGGCTTCCCCTATGTCTCCTTGTATTACCCTTATCGGATCACATAGTATTTCGCGAGCTACCTGCAAGGCATTTCAATAAACGTTAAAGTAATTAAATAATTAATTTTAATAACAGCCATCAATTTCTAAAAGAAAATTAATGCTTTGCAAATAAGAAAGGGTAAGTTAAAATGCGTCTCACGCCAGTTTTGTACTATGATGAGACAACACATTTTGTGGTAAATAGTTGCGGAACCATGACACAAGATACATTTGATTAAATCATTGTTAGGTAGGTACATAGTTGTTTGGTGCAGGGCATGGCGTCCTTGGTTGTTTCTTGACTCATACCTTCCAGGCTCAGACGCTTCATTTGAATGAACGAATATTTAGGATTGTTATTCAAATCAGTGATGTGTTAGTACGTGCAAGGACCATTTACCAAAATCAAGTTTCTAACTGTAAACACGATTAGCTAACATTGATGTGTTACCTATTCATTTCTTCAAAGTTTTGGACGTGACAAAAGATAGGTGGATGCAACTAAAAATGTTGATGTCATAATCTTAAATTATGCTGCAGTTGATTAGTAGAATAAAAAAAAGTAAGTTAAAAAAGAATGTGCAATACTGAAACACATGTAAATACTGAAACATATGAACAAAGAAAAACATGTGTATGTTGAAACATATACAAATACTGAAACACATATGAAAACTAGTATAATAGTCAATTGGCATGTTGACTATTGAAACAATAAATTGAACAATAATTCACTGAACAAAATACATAACTGTGTAAAAGTCTGTGAAGTGTGTGTGGAAAAACTACATCTAGAATCCTTAATTGAAAACTAAAATTTCAGAACTGTTAGCAGTACGACGTTGGATTTTTGTTTCTTCTCTTGCCAAAACACATTTTTAAAAAATTTTACCGAGCTATTATTCTCAGGATTCGGATACATACATTTTTGTGAAAGAATATTTTCTTGCTTGAATATATTATAAATAAGTCTAAGAACAAGTCAGTACTGAATTAACGTTTAAATGTTTTAATAAAATTAGTGAGAATAACGGCAAGTTATGTGATTCTAGTTAAAAAAATTTCTAAATAAAAAAGAGATGCAAATATTAATAACTAACCCTTTCGACTTTTTTCCTGAAAGTAGCACTAAATAGCAAAGTCTGCCTATCGGGGCGTACGTGATTGGCAATAGATACCACTTGAGGTTCAAAACCCAAAGCAAACATTCGATCAGCTTCGTCAAATACTAGATAGGTAACTCTCTGTAAATTCGTAGCTTTCTTCTTCACAAGATCGATCAGCCTTTAACATACGAAATTCAGAACAGTTAAAAAAATACTTATTCCATTATATTTTTGTTTACGTTTATCGTATTATCGCTCGTAAAACTCGTAAAACCGAACATTTAATTTAACTTGATTTAAATTAATTATTTATTTGTTTCTTTTGTGGTAAATATATCTCGTTAATTGATTGCAAGTGATGGAAAGAAAGAAAAAGCCGAAAGACACAGTTTCAGAACTGAAGTGTACAGACAATGATAACTTGGGATTAAAGTTATGTGAAGAATGCATGAAATGTAATAGGGAAAAGCTACAAATTTTGGTTGAAACAGAAAAGGCTGCCAGTTTGGATTTAGGACCATCATTGGAAGTTTATAAAAGTGAAATGCGAGACATTACACATTCCATGATGTCAAAAATGGAGATTCTTGAAAAAGCCATATATGCACAAAATGAAGAATGGTCAGATTTAAGAAAAAGAATGGAAAATATATCTATAATTTCTTTAAAACAGTTGGAAGATAATGAGAAAATAACTAAAAAAACAGTTGAAAAAAGTGAACAAGTGTTAATGAAATATTCAGAAGCTGTAAAAGGAAAGGTTGACACTCTTGCGACTGATGTTAAAAAGATGCAAAAATCCATTTTAGATACAACTACCAAAATAGATATTAATAATGATAGGGAAAAAAGAAAAAATAACATAATATTATATAATTTAGATGAGAAGGAAAATAACCCCAGGGTATGTGTTGGCAAACTGTTGAAAGAGATTGCTGATATAGATTCAGAAGTGGTTGATATATCCAGGTTGGGTAGAAAATCAGAGGAGGCCAAACCAAGACCAGTTTTAGTACAACTAGCAAGTTTAACTACCAAGAATTTGTTGTTTGCAAACTGTTTTAAACTGAGAAACTCAACATGTTTTAGTAAAGTTATAATAAATCATGATCTATCTAAGGAAGACAGAATCAGTAATAAAAAAATTCTTGAAGAGAAAAAAAGTGAAATTGCTGCTAAAGAAGATATCACAAAGTGGATTTTCAGGTCAAAAGGCAAACCAGGAGACTTTCATGTGATTGCTTACAGAAGGCAAAATTTAGCATCATAAATAATTTAAGCTGTAACAACAACAATAATTTAAGTATAATTATGTCCAATGTTGATTCTTTAACTAACAAGTTTGAGGATTTAAAAATATTTTTGCAGAGCTTGGAGATTTCACCAGATTTGATAGTTTTGAATGAAGTAAATCCAAAAAACTTTAGAAATTGTAGAGTTTTATCTGAAATAAATATGAATGGTTACTCCATCATTTCCTCAGGTTTTGCTGAAGTCAACAAAAGAGGTTTGGTGTTGTACTATAAAAATTCAATAGTTGTTTCTGAGGTTGCCATGAAATCAGATTTCAAAGAACATATTTCTGTTAAACTTGTGATGTCCAAAAGTATTTTAAATATTGTTTTTATTTACAGAAGTCCAAAGTCTGATGAAAAAAACAATAAAAATTTGTTATCTTTGTTAATTGAGGGTCTTTCATTAAATGGTGATTTCCTAATGTTGGGAGATTTTAATTTTCCTGAAATTGATTGGGAGACATTTAGTTGCAGAGGAAGTGATGAAAAAATTGAAAATGAATTTTTGAGTATTCTGAAAGATAAATTCTTAATTCAACATATTAACTTTCCAACAAGATTCAGAGATGGACAGGCAGCAAACATCCTAGATCTGGTAATATCAGCTAAAGAGTTGGTCCGCAACATTATGCATCATCCACCTTTGGGTAATAGTGACCATTCTATTGTGGAATTCAAAGTAATAGGTTTCAGATGCCCACCTGAGAAATACAAGAAAAAGTATTGTTATGATTCAGGAAATTATGAAAGTTTCAGAGAGCTTCTGTCATAAGAACTTGATAATCGAACAGGTCAGAATGAGGATACTGAAGAGTTCTGGAAATTTTTCAGAGCTAAATTGACTACATATACTCAACAGTTTGTTCCTGTTAGAAGTAATAACAACAATTATAAATTTAAAATGAGCAATGAGCTAAAAAATTTAATCAGGGAAAAGCGATTGATTTGGAGATACATCTATAGATATGGCGATAACAGATTGGAAGTTTACCGTAAAATTAGAGAAAAAATAAAAAAAATAACCAGTGATTTGAAAAAACAATCTCAGGATAGAATTGCCAGTAATTATAAAAATAATCCGAAGTTATTTTGGAACTATGTAAAGAAAGTCACCAGACATGTTGAATCGATGAGTCCACTATCGGTGGGTGGTAGAATTGTTACGAATGCTGAAGAAAAAGCAGAAGCATTTGCAGATTTCTTTTCCTCGGTCTATGAAAAGGAGATAAACTTTTTCGACCAAAATTTTCCAGTAATTGATGGTACAATAATGGAAGACTTGAAGATAAATAAAGAAATGGTAGCAGACAAATTGAAGAGATTGAATACCGGCAAATCCGCGGGTCCAGATTTGATTCATCCAAGAATTCTGTGGGAAATGCGTGATGTGGTTACCACTCACTTGAGTCGTATTTTTCAATGTTCATTGGATGAGGGTATCGTTTTTGGTGATTGGAGGCAGAGTCATGTGATCCCGTTGCACAAGAAAGGTAGAAAAGATCTTGCTCAGAATTACCGTCCAATAGCATTGACGTCAATTTGTTGTAAGGTCCTGGAGGGGCTGATAAAGGACCATATTATGAAATACTTTATGGAAAATAATCTTTTTTCGAAGAGTCAGTATGGTTTCATTCCTGGACGCTCCGCGGTTTTGCAGCTGTTGAAATTTTTAGAGGCGGTGGTTGATGGAACAGATCATGGTTACGAAGTCAATGTAATCTAAATGGATCTGGAAAAGGCGTTCGACAAAGTTTCATATAAACGTCTGTTGTTTAAGCTGGGGCGGTATGGGGTGAATGGTAAGATAGTAAAATGGATTGAGAATTATCTCAACAACAGAACATTTCAGGTGAAATTAGAGGATATATTATCTAAGTCAAGACCAGTCCTGATTGGAGTTCCCCAGGGTGGAGTTTTGAGCCCTCTACTGTTTATTATCTATATCAATGATATTTCTTCAGTATGTGATAATATCTTGCTTTTTGCTGACGACTCAAAAATCTTTAGAGTGTTGAAAACAGAGGAAGACAAAAATAGTTTTTTGCAAGATATTAGAAAATTACTAACCTGGTTTGAGGAATGGAAATTGAAAATAAATACTGATAAATGCCAGTTACTAAGAATCGGTTCCCGCCAGCCGTGTACTTCATACACCATTGTGGATGATGATAATTCGCGGTTCAATCTTCCTGAGGTTGATGAGTTATCAGATCTTGGAATAGTTGTGGATAATAAAATGAGGTTCAGAAGCCATGTATTGAAAATAGTGCACAAAGCAAATTCAATGTTGGGTATTATTGCCAGAAACTTTAAGGGCCTTTCAAACGAAGCTTTTTTATTGTTGTTCAAATCGTTGGTGAGATCGCATTTGGAATATGGAGTTCAAGTGTGGAATCCTTATAGAGTTGGACTAATAGACGAGGTGGAAAAGGTACAAAGAAGAGCAACTCGTTTGATAAAGTCTTGTAGAAATCTTTCATACGATGATCGACTGAGGAAACTGAGTTTGCCGTCTCTTGCCTTCAGACGACGAAGAGCCGATCTTATATTAGTTTATAGGATAATACACGAGGGTGTTTCGGCTGATATTGGACCTACTTTGTTTTTTTCTGGCGATGAGCGTACAAGAGGACATAACCTCAAGTTAAAAGCCTCAATTTCTCATAAAGACTGTCATAAATTCTACTTCTCAAATGGAGTGGTGGAAGATTGGAATATGCTGCCCTCGGTTGCTGTTAATGCGGATTCTCTGTCTGTTTTTAAATCGACAATTGATGATTTTTTTGGTGATATAAAGTTTAATTGGCGAGCAAACTTTTAATTTATTGTAATTGTTTAATTCTAATTGATGTCTGTAGAAAATTTCTTTAATATTTTTATTTACAGTCATTTTTCGGTTGATAATTCGAACCGAATGATGGTTTAATTATGTTTTATTTAATTTTATTCCTTTAACCTTCGGACAATCATTTATTTTGCTTAGTTTTTTGAGTTTTGTTTTGTGATGGCAAGGGAGGGGCTTGCCCGTGCTATGAAATAATAATAATAATAATATTTATATATATATATTAATATATATATATATATTAATATATATATATAATCTCCGACCTGCTTCTCCAGGTCTTTGCATCATAAAAAAACATCTCAGAGTTGTAAGGGCTAATTAACATATTACGGCTTAAGGGTTAATTAGCCTAAATAATCAGACGAAACTATAAGAGCTGATTAATTAGGTAAACCTCTGATGCAGTAATTGAAATTTTAAATAGTGAACTTTTACATGAAACCTTTTGTGTGCAGTTTGATAGGTACGATCTGAACCTTTTATGTGCATCATCTACTATTGCATAATTATGACGCAACTTTGTTAAAAAATATCATGGTTGACGCAACCAAACGCGCGTCTGTAGCAGCAACAAATTTGATAGGATCTGCAGTGGTGCAGTTTCTGTTGAATGAAACCACCAGTAACCTGATTGATGCAAAGGCATTAGATTGTTGTTTATCAAATGGTTTAGCAGAATCTTGAGAACAACACGTTACATGATTTTTAAGACGAATAGAAGATTCGATATTGGTCGGTAGTTTGCGACATCATTACCATCACAATTGGCCTTCTTTAAAATCTGGAAGACTACGGCATGTTTGAAACTTGTCAGAAATTCACCTAACCGCAGCAAAGGTTAAAAAAACTCGTAAGAAAACAATTAAACAAATCCCTCAAAGAAACCATTATTTCGATGATTGGTCGTCAAACGATTTCTGTAGGATTTTCCATCTGTCTGCAGGTTAGTTTAGCCTGTCGGCAATCATTATCAAACCAAGGTGAGGTGTCATACGCTCACCTCTGTCATAAATCACACAAAGATAGAAATGGATTTGGTTCCTCGAATGATATGAGGGTATCTCTTTCTAGTACTGAGCCTCGGTTTCATCTTCTCTGTGATGGAAAATCATCTCACTAAGCCTCAATAACATATAATGTAACATATTTAAGATCCTAACATAACAATTAATATGAACAATGTAATATGTGATATTATCTAAATCTGAATCAAAATTGTTATAACAAATTGATTTTTTTTCTATTATTGACGACTTGGGTTTGGAGAGGCCAGGTTACCATCATTTCTTTTTTAGAGAGACCAACACTGAAAAAGTTGGGAAACACTGTTCTAAGGAGTATATCATAATGGGAGAGTGCCTCAGAGTATGGTTTTTGGTTCGGTTTTTGTTCATCATGCAGACTGTTTGATACTGGTGACTGGTTGATATCATGGAAAAGATCGGGCTCAAATCACATGCGTATGCAGATATACAAATTATTGGTTGCGGTAATTCAAAAATTTTGTGGATGTTCGAAATCTGTAAGCCAGATATTGTCTCAAATAGACGTTTAAAAGGCGAATCATTCTTAAAAACTCAACCAAAGCAAAACTCAATTAATGCCTGTGGGGACATGGCAGTTATTAAAAATGCTGGAATGTAAAAAGTTGATCGTCAATAGAACTGTATTGAATCACGGATTTTTGCTTGATGAGAATTTAACAATGTCGGATCATATAAAATCACTAGCAAGCCGTAGCTTTTTTTTACTTAAGAAACATTTGACAAATATGCAGATGTTTGGACGAGAATACAACTAAAACCTTAGTTCATGCATTTGTTCATTCTCGTTCGGACTATTGTAATAATTTAATCGATGGTAATTCTAATAAATGCACGTCAATGTTACAGTCTGTACAAAATAGAACTGCTAAACTAGTTGTTGGTGGATTGAAATATCATCACGTCTCCCAAATATTCAACAAATTGCTTTGGCTGAAAATTGAAAAACGCATAATTTTTTAAATTTGTACAACGGTTTATAATTGTATAAAATGAATTTGCCCAAGATTATCTGATTGAGAAATGTAGTTCAAAAAGTTTGATCCATTATTTTTCTTTATTATTAGTTTCTTTGTTGGTAGCAAAGTTACTGCATTCTTTTGGATTTTTATTACAGGGTACTGTTTTATTGTTTATAAAAAGTGCTTCTGCAGTTTTAAGTTGAAACGTATTCCTGTTGTAATATCTTTGTATTATTATTAAGTATTTCTCTAGTAATTGCTTACTTGTTTATATGAGTTTATATTGTACCTGTTTGTAAGTGTGTCTGTGCATCAGTATGTTTATATACATGAAGCACAGAAATTCATCGATATAACATGAATCATTTAAAAAAAATATAAAATAACCTGCCAGGAGTAGCAACAATTATTTCTGCTCCTTCTTCACAGGCTTTAGTTTGTTCATACATATTGCCTCCACCGTAAGCACATACAACTCGAATGTTATAAGCCTTCAACATTTGTGAAAATATGATTATAATCAGACTAACATGTTAAAATGTAAATACTTGACTAGTTTAGATGACATTCTAATCTAATTTCAATAAAATAAAACAAGCTTTTAAAATATTTGACAACTTGATGAATGTAGAACTAGTTCTTGAAAAATTTATTTGACAAAAAGCGGGGATCCTGAGAGAAAATCGTGGTTGTTTTTTAACCAAATAATTAACAAATGAATTAATTGCCAATGCAGTTTAGGCTACAGAAATAAGAAGAAAAACGACATTTTAATTCACACAAAAATTAGATGGCACAATATTAAACGATAGATATTAAGCACATTTTTAAAGTTGAACCTTTTAACCTGCTCACAGTACTGGAACTTCCATCGTTAACATTTCAAAATGATATTCTCACTAGTGATGGTGAAAATCTCTCTATTCTTGCTCATGAATAATCTCCAGATTTTGGTGTTGTTAATCATAAAATTCTTATAAAACTTTTTGGATCATTTTTTTAATGTTACTGACCCTTGTACTTTACGAGTTTCCTTTATAGCTTCTTACCTACCATTTACAATCCCCTAACTTTTATATTTAAGACATCTCATAAATCAATTTTTGGTCCTATACAGTTTAAAGGAATTACATCTTCTGAATTACTTTGAATTTAAAAAAATTGTTCTTTTACAATTCTGGATATTAGTCTAAAACTGAGATCTTATTTGAAATTCGAGAGCGCAGGTCAAATATAGGAGCCACAAAAAGGTAAAATTTAAAAATTTATGATCACCTGTAAAAATAATTGATTTCCGATATAACTGGCAAAATGTGATTTGACAATCATGATGCACATATAAGTAAAGATTGACAAAAAAGTATCAGTTAATGGCTACTATAAAAAGTTGCATAACGCTTGTGATTTAAAACAAGACAACCTTAAACATATTTATAAAAGAGTCTAATAAACATTTAGCCAAAATTAGGGACCATTTTTATAAACTGTAAACATTTGATAGGAACAAATTATGAATTTGATGAATGAGTAAAACAATAAGAAGAGACTTGTAAGGCGAAGAGAACAAAAATGTTGTAATTTAATAAAATTAAAATGTTTAGAACAGACATTATAAATTTCATGTAACTTCTGATGAATCCAGCAATAAATTTCTCTAAATCATCATTCCATCTCAGTCTGTGTAGTGCTATTCCTCATCGAGAGTCATTGTTTGGTCTTCTCTAGTAATTTTACGCTTTCATTCGGATCATATTTATATTCTTGTAACTTAGGTAATCTAAGGTTATTCTATTTAACATTATAAGCAACTCCCTAGCGGCATAGCCTAAAAAATAACCGGTGACTGCATAAAACTGTCCAAAGCCGTACAATGACGAATCTGTATCGATCTTGCAGATCCAACTTGCAACAATCAGTTTTATTGGCTCATGATCATAAGATTCCTATGTTTTACCTTTTTTGAGCTAGATATGTGTTAGGAACAATAGTTTTGCTAAAAAAATATGATAAATAATACTCTGATATTAAAAACAACCAAAAGCAAAAAAATAGCTTCAAAGATTCAACAGTTTTTGCATGTAAGAAAAAATCAGCTAAAAAGAGCAAATAGCCGTTAGCCGTTTAGCTTGAATTTGTCATTTTTAAAATAAGTTAAGGTTGAATTGAAAATACAGATGGATCTGATACTGAAATATTATTACATGAATAAGTAACCATATAACAATGTCCATTTTTTCAGGTTTAGAAAATATGTTGTAACTTATGTATCCATATAACAATATTCATTTTTCCAGGTTTAGAAAAATTGTTAGAGACACTGAAATCAGATTGAGAATAGAGGATTGCAAATATGTAAAAGACTTACATTAACATTGGATTACATGAGCAAATAAAAACTTGAGCAAAAACACCTAACTAAGAAAGAAACTCTGATTCTAAATTAAGAAAACCAAGAATCACTGCAGTACTACGACGATTTTCAAATAATTGTAAAAATTATACATTTAGCATTAAAAAATAATCATTAAAAAATATTGCATTGTATACTTTTCCCAATCTTTTAGCTTCATTATAAATTTGTTGAGACAATTCCCTTGTCGGCGCCAAGATTAAACCAATTGGACCATCTCCTTTTTCAAGTTCTTTTTGGTCAAGTATATGCACAAAGAGAGGC